TCTTTATCCCGTTTTAAACCTCACTTATATATTTTATTTTTTATTTATATAATCAACCTATATCACAGGTTAATTATATTTATCTACCTATATGACAGATTCTTTTTTATAATCAAGTAAGATTCATGTGTTTTGCTTGTAGATATATTATGTTTTTTTTCTACCTTTTAGTTAGGTTTCATATCTTACTTATAGGTATGATATACATTCATATATTTGTTACTTGAGTTAGGGTATAATGATTTGAAGATAGATTTATGTCAATATATATATATATATATATATATTTGTTATAAGATATTAATTATTATGTTTTTTGTTATAAGATATTAATTATATTTTTTGGGGTTGAAAATGCATAATAATAGAAGATTTTAATTGATTTTTAATATTTTTAGAAAATATAAAATGAGCATTAAAAAAAAATACATATAATTAGGTAATTGGACTCACTCCTAAAAACCATCTATGTTTTTGGACCTGAATCTAAAAGCCCCAAAAGATTATTATGTGTTGATGTGGATTAATAATTTAATAACCAATTAAAAAATCTGTCTAAATACTTTTTTGCACGATGGAAATTTTTTTTTCTTATAGTAGGGCCTACTTTAAAGAGAGATTTCTCAAAGGCACAATGCTTAACCAAGGCCTAAGAGGGGGTTTGGAAATAATTTTCAACCAACAATAGACGTGCCTCGACTAGAACCTTATTATCTCAAGGCAAATCTTGTTGTTCTTTGCAACACCAGATCACCAGGGGAGTGCCCAACAAGTTCTCCAAGATTAAGGTTGTGGTGAGGATATTGATTGCCTAAATGTTAATGGTGATGTCACAGAAGTCGTCGCCAAACCAAGCCGTCACCAAGGGTGATCTTGATCCAAGGCCAATTTGGTGAAGGGTGTCAAAGTATGTAAATATGGGTGTATTAAGGATTTTCTTTTTCTAGAGAATAGATAGCGAAGGCTACCATAGATGAAGGTAGAGAAATGTGGACTGGGATCAGAGGTGATTGCAAGACTAGGTTTTTGGGTTGATAACCTTTTTATTAATTATTAAACCTATTTGTAATTTTTTTTATTTAATTAGACTTCTGTACATAACAAATTTTTTTATAGAATTGTGGCGGAATGACTACATTAATTTGAGACACTTACTTGCGGGATTACATTGGTCGATTTTCAATTTTAGAGACCATTTTGATGTCTCGGGTTAATTTCAGGGATCATTTTGATGTCACGGGTTAATTTCAAGGACTATTTGTGATTTAAAAAGAACTTATGGGGCCCATTTATATGCCACATCAGTACTTAACATAATTTTTAAAATAATTGTGACGGAAGGACCACATTGATTTGCGACACTTATTTTCAGGGACTACATTGATCGATTTTCAATTTCATGGATCATCTTGATGGTGAAAGTCAATTTCAGGGACCATTTGTGATAAAAACCCATTAAATATAATCATTGGTGTAATTTCTTAAACCTATCAACTATGTGTAAATGACATTATTTTTTAGGTCAATTTTTTTCGTAGACCATGTGGTGTTACGATACTTTCAATTTTACCATCATGATGAAAAGGTTGTTCACTAAACCCTCGTGGTGAGTCTCATTAGCAATTAAGGTCCAAATCTAACATGAAAAGGCTAGATTAGTTTTTTTCAAACCAAATCAAGAAACCAAAATCATTTGTTATCAGGTGCTAGGGTTCATAACTAATAAGCGCATACAGATAGGAAATGTTTAAGCTTTGAAAAAGATATTCAGAACTAATAGCTCTAGGTCCAACCCCAAAACTAATAGCCACATCAGGAAATCAAAATTTTGAAGGTTGTTCATAGTTTAATTACATATATATGGACATTTATACTTATTCCGTGAATCGGAGGCAGGGCATCGTCCCTTTTTTTGGAACAAAGGTTTGCTCTTAAGCCATTCCGGGCCAATGACTTGGTCAGGTGGGGAGTTTGCTTAGCGCAACACATATGTTTAAAGATAACGCAGATGTCCTAAGATGAGCTCAACAACATAAATCTCGTGTAGAACAAAAGGGTAAAAGCTCATTTGGTTTTGATTCTTGGTACGAATACGAACTGTGAAAGCGTGGCCTATCGATCCTTTAGACCTTCGAAATTTGAAGCTAAAGGTGTCAAAAAAGTTACCACAGGGATAACTAGCTTGTGGCAACTAAGCGTTCATAGGGACGTTGCTTTTTGATCATTCGATGTCGGTTCTTCCTATCATTGTGAAGCAGAATTCACCAAGTGTTGGATTGTTCACCCACAAATAAGGAATGTGAGTTAGGTTTAGACCGTCGTGAGACAGGTTAGTTTTACCCTACTGATGACAATGTCGCAACAGTAATTCAACCTAGTACGAGAGGAACCGTTGATTCGCACAATTGGCCATCGCGCTTGGTTGAAAAGCCAGTGGTGAGAAGCTACCGTGTGTTGGATTATGATTGAACGTCTCTAAGTCAGAATCCAGGCTAGACGCGATGCAGCCGCCCCGCCGACCTGCAGTAGGGGCCTCGACCCCTAAAGGTTCATGTCGATGGTTAAGTCATCGTGGTAGACGAGTTGCGGTGGCCGCCTTGAATTATAATTTCCACCAAACGGTGGGTAGAATCCTTTGCAGACGACTTAAATACGCAACGAGGTATTGTAAGTGGCAGAGTGGCCTTACTGCCACGATCCACTGAGATTCAGCCTTGAGTCGCTTCGATTCGTCTCTCCCATTTTCTTCCTACACACAAACTTTTCAAATTACTCATGTTTCGAGAGGTGAGGCTATTAGTCAACAATTGGGCAAAAATTCCTCACACTTTGGCCTATCCGACAATTGTGCAAAATCGTTTATCAATCTTAAAGTTGGCTACCAAATTCACGTTGGGACTTTAATTTTGCCATGTTTTTTTCTTCCAAGTCATGTTGGGGCTTTAGCTTTGCCATGTATTTTGACATCTAGCCTCGTTTTATGTCAACAACAAGCGAGGCTAGTACAACTCATGTGATTTGCTATGACATTTCAAAAGGCGTTCGAGCCTCGCTTTATGCCAATAACAAGCGAGGCTATGGCTACCTATGCACATTGTCAATGGCATGTTGCAATGCGTTCAATATCTCGACATTTTCCTTGCACAATATGATGCTCACCATTGTTATAATTTGTGGGTTGTTAGATGATGAATGAATGACAAAAGTGGACCATCTAATATTGGGGTCCTAAGTCATGTGAACATATTTCATAGTCCAAGAAAGCAATTTTTGTTATTGCATTGGCCAACCCAAAAAATTGAACGACGACACTTGAGTAAAGTGTTTCTTGGTCTAAAAGTTGGCTACCATCTCGCAAAATAAGTCTTGTCGGACATTAGCTTTGCATGTTTTTTTCCAAGTTATGTTGTGACTTTAGATTTGTCATGTCTTTTCTCAACTCATGTAGGGAAAATGTATGTCGTGACATGCCAAGACTCACAAAGTGTCAGCATAATGTGTGTCATGACTTGTCTTTGACATGCCAATGACAAGTGCAAAATTTCGATCATGACATGCCAATGTCATGTAAAGCCTCACAAAATGTTGATCAAACAATAAGGGGTTCATGGAGTAAACCACGCAACCATTAACTGGAGTTGGAGGAGGAGGAAGGCGGTAGGTGGAAGGAGAGAGGGACGGAAGCCTATCTCTTGCCAAACCTAATACAAAACACCAAGGGGTTGTGACACCCAAAACATCAGTCCCATCCCTCGTGTTCGCCAAGGATTCACATGAGTTGCTTGATTTTGTTGCCAAACGGATCCATCGTCGGTTGATGGAGGAGAAGAAAGAGGCCCTCATTCATATTTTCGCTGGATCCATAGCCGACCAGTCTCACCCTTCGACGTGATTCAAGTTTTAAACCTCCTTTTCTTTTAAGTCAATTCCAATTTCAGTTTAAGCCTAGTATATATCTGACGACATATATTTATGGTTTCTTGATTTGGTTTGAAAAGAAAAATTTAGCCTCTCCACGTGAAATTCATGTGGGTTTATTTGATAGGAGACTAACAATAATTTAAGTTTGGACCTCAATTGCTAACGGAGCTCATCACGAGAGTTTGGTTAACAACTTTTTAACCACAAATGTGACATTAAAAGTGCCATGACATCACATAGACTATGAAATTTTTTTAAGGAAAACTAATGAAAAAGGCTTGAAAACTTTGAGTTTTAACGATAATGACGAAATAAAGCGTAAAATGAATAGTACCAGGATTGACTTTTTAGTATAAAAATGTGGTTTTTCGTTAAAGTGAAACAGTACCAGGAGTTTTTCGTTAAAGTTCCAAAAAATTTAACCTTTTTTAAAAAAAAAAATAAGGATCGTTGCTAGTAATATACATATACATACGTTTGTGTGTGTGTGTGTGTAATATAATATAGAGTTACAGAAAACTACTGTATTTGCTGTTTTGTTTGTGGTTGGATGCTGTTTTTTTTTTCAAAGCCTCACCTATGTAGGTATGGTTTGGGGTTGAGGTGATTTTAAAAAAAACTACTATAAAAAAAAGTTCGGGTGTAAAATGTGTTTGGTAAATGTAAAAATAAGTGCTTCTTTTCAAAGTTCCAGCCAAAATAAGCAGAAAAATGGAAGCTGCATTTTGCTGCTTCTTAAAACCAGCTTTTTTTTCAAAGTAGGCGGATGAACAGTAACATTTAATGAAACTTTCTTAAACCCAATTGTACCCTCTTTCTTCTTCTCGCTTTCCTCATCGTATCAAATCATCGAATCCGATTGTTCGAGATGATGAGGTCCCTCAGCGAGTCAAGTTCGGCACTTGTTACCAAGGTCGAATTCAGAGAACTCCATTCACTGACACAGAGAAATAGCTTGTGAAAACCTAGGTCGAATTCATCGTCCTGAGTCCGAAGCACGCAGATTCGAACATCAATTTCTTTTTCGACAACTGAGACAAGACGGGGAAAAAGAACCTAGATGGGAATTATCCGTCTTCATGCAGAAATCTGTCCCAAATATGTACATCAAGGAGGTATGCTTAGAGGTCTTCAAGTCCTACGCGACGAGGACGGTGGTGCCCGGGTTCGACGAGTTTTTCAACACCATAACGGGTTTGAACGGATCAGGCAAGTCCAACATCCTCGACTCCATCTGCTTCGTCTTGGGAATTACCAATTTGCAGCAGGTTCGCGTCGCCAACCTCCAGGAGCTCGTCTACAAGCAGGTCCAGGTCGGAATCACCAAGGCCATCGTCTCCATAGTCTTCGACAATTCTGACCACGCCCGTAGTCCCCTCGGATACGAGGCCCGTTTTGAAATCACCGTCACCCGTCAGGTATTTTGGGTTTTAACAATTAGGTCTCGTTCGATTTTGGTGATTGGGAAATGGAGAGAACAGAGGGCTGGAGGGGAGGGATTTGGATCTTAAGCTGTGAAATCTGCTGGAGATTTTAATGATTGGGAAAGGGAGAGAACATAGGGTTGGAGGGCAATATATTACGTTGACACTAAGATGCCTACAATCTTTCAATCCCTATCAAGTAGGCATAACTATTAGAATTTTCAATTTCTATCTTTCAACCCTCCAACTCTATCACGATTGCAATTTTTTAATTTTCAACACCTATTATAGTGAAAACAAATTAAAATAACAACAAAAAGTTATCAAAATTATGTTCATCTAATCTATTCTAGTAAATAACAACAAAAAGATATCAAAGTTATCAAAATAACAACAAAAACAAATTAAAATAACAATTAGAGTGCAAAACAAATTAATTTAACATAATATATTCTTATATTACTAAATATTATAAGTTTATGTTATATTTAATATTGTTAATTTAACATAAATGCTTATAAATATTATTCATTTCCATTTTCTCATAACAATTCAAGTGACAAAATTAATTAATTTGACTAAATATTTATTAATTTAACAAAAATAGTAGAAATTTATCTAAGTACTTAAATTAGAATTTTTAAATAAATAAACTTGTGTATTATAGAATTTAAAAATTAAGGAATTAAGTGAAAACAACCTAAATTATGTATGTCACATCCCGGCCCGGGGCGGATCACTTCCCGGGCCGACTCCACCACCATAGCACGATATTGTCCACTTTGGGCTTACCATTCCCTCACAGTTTTGTTTTTGGGAACTCACGAGCAACTTCCCAGTGGGTCACCCATCATGGGATTGCTCTAGCCCCCTCTCGCTTAACTTCGGAGTTCCTACGGAACCTGAAGCCAGTGAGCTCCCAAAATGCCTCGTGCTAGGTATGGATGAGAATATACATATGAGGATCACTCCCCTGGGCGATGTGGGATGTCACAATGTAACAATTCCGTCGTCGATCAATTCTTTATGTACTCAGCTAGCTCAAATAAATTCCCTACAAACATAAATTGTAAATAAAAATTAAACATAAGAGGAGAAAATAAAAATATTAGAAGCAAGATGCTTATAATATTATTCATTTCCATTTTCTCATAACAATTCAAATGACAAAATTAATTAATTTAACAGAAATAGTAGAAATTTATCTAAGTACTTAAATTAGAATTTTAAATAAATAAACTTGTGTATTATACAATTTAAAATTTAAGGAATTAAGTGATAGAAACTTGAATTATGTAATAATCCCGTCGTCGATCAATTCTTCATGTACTCAACCAGCTCAAAAAACTCCCTACAAAAATAAATTGTAAATAAAAATTAAACATAAGAGGAGAAAATAAAAATATTAGAAGCAAGAAAAACTTACTGGTGAAGAAGGAATTAATGAACTTGGAAGAGCAAATAAGAAAGATTGGAGAGAGGAACAAGAAAACACCGTTGAGGAGGGGGGGGGGGTTTATAAATTGGAACAACAAATAAGGAAGATGCGGGAGAGGAAAAGAAAACACATGGGAGAGTATATAAAGGCCATTTATCCGTCGCCTACAACTGACCCTGGGTTTCAAAATATTTTAAAAAAATTAAAATCTATGTCGGTTAGAACCGACGCGAGCTTTAAAATATTTAAAAACAATAGTTAGTGTCGGTTATAAGCGACACGTCAACTTTATGTCGCTTAGAAGCGACGCGGTTGTTTTAATCCGACGCCAGTATTTAAAAATTATTAAATTCTGTGTCGGTTATAAGAGACATTAAATGTTAACGTCGGTTAAAAGCGATATAGATAGTTTATGACGTTTAAAACCGACAATAAATCCGACGCCATGTTCAGATGGTGTCGCAAATGTCTTTTCCGCCACCGACACAATAAGACCATTTTGTAGTAGTGAGTTTTACATAAAGTTTACCAAACACCTGAACATTTTTTTTTGTTAAAAGCACTTGTACAATAAAAGTTTACCAAACACTTAATTACTTTATTTTACAGCTGATTAGTTTTACAGCACGGTAGAAGCAGTATTTTTTAAAAAGCACAGCAATACCAAACTAGCCCGTAATCCTAATATATCTCTAATTAAAAAAAAAAAAAAAAAAAAACTTTGTACTTCCACATTCTCTTAAAAAAATTTCTCACACACTTTGTGTATGCCTATATGCTAGTAATATATATATAAACGTGAGAAACATATGAACTTAGTTTCTGGACAAATTATCAACCGTTTGACTTCGCCATCTTTGAAAGTTTGAACATGGACTAAAACCTGATTCAAACAAACATGGAACGTTGAACCCTACAGTACTTTTCGGACAAACAAATTCCTGCCCAATGATCCATGCATTGTTCCGTGTGGTTTTGTTTTACCATAGAGAGAATGAGCTTATTTCTTGTTTACGAATAACGTATTTTGATTATACAAATTTTTTAATAGGAATTGTTTAACTTTTTAATCTTCATTTGCAGATCATTCTTACAAAAATCATTTCAATCGTAGATCATATAGTTACTAAAATGTATAGAATAAATCAATGGTGCAAGATCATGAAACATATTTATGATGAAAAGTTCATTTTATTTGATACCTTTGGAAAGATCTCCAATTCAAATGATTTTTTTTTTTTTTTGCATGAAGAAGAAATTTATTAAAGCTTAAAACATCTAATACAACCGTTTCCCATACAATCAAATTTAAAAGCCTCCATAGTTGAAGTTGGAAGACAAAAATCCTAAAAATGTGGGTTGGCAACAATGAGGCCCACATGAGCTAATGTGTCTGCCACAAAATTAGCTTCCCAATAAATATGCTTCTAACTGATATGCTGAAATTCAGAAGCTAACCATTTGATGTCCTCTATCATAGGTTTAAGATGCCAAAGAGGCATCCAAACATCTTGCATCACTTGGATGACAAGCTTAGAATCCCCTTCCACCATCAACTTCTTCACACCTTTGTGCCTAGCGAGCAAAAGCCCTTCCTTTAAAGCAACGACCTCCGCAACCGAAATGGTGGCGCCATCAAGGTTCAAAGCCCCTGTACCAACATGTTGCCCCTCCTCATTTCTAAGAACAAAAGCAGCTGCAGAGCGATCCAAACTAACCGACTCATCAAAGTTTAATTTTACATAGCCATGGAGAGAAGGATGCCAACAAATGGGGTGTTGGTGGCAAGGATCACCCCTAGAGATCTTCTTACAATTAACCTTAAAAAAAGATAAGCCTACACTTGTGGCAATGGAGATACTCCTAGCCGGATTAAGAATCATACTTCTAAAAACTTTATTATTCCTATCATTCCATATTTGCCAACAATTCAAAATAGCTTTACTAAGATCACTCAAATCATTGCATTCAACATTGTCAATTAGTTCCATCCAATCTAACACATTATTAAACTGAGTCAAATTATTCTTCCAAGGACCTACTGGAGAGAGGTTCCACATTTCTTTAGCATGCTCGCAATTAAGAAAAAGATGATTTTGAGTCTCATCCTCATTACCACACTTAGGGCACAATTTGTCAATATTTTGAATAAATTTACTCAATCTCATCCTAGTATGAAGTTTTTCATGAGTAAAAACCCATGCAAAATTTTTTACCTTCGGAGGTATCATTAACCCATACAAATGTTTTTACCTTTGGAGGTATCATTAACTTCCATATGTTCTTAAAGGGCTTTTGCCTTTTAACTTCTTGATTATTATTACTTTGAATCTAAGTCGCTGACTTGATTGAGAACTCACCAGCAGAGGAGTGTTCCCACACGAAATTGTCACTTTTATTTTGAAGGGAAATAGGCACCATACAAATTTTCCTCACAACATTTAGGTCCAACACTTGGGACAGACGAACACTATCCCAACTTTTATTATCAATAAACTCACTCACTTTAGTGTCCCAATTTATGTTCTGTCGTTGATTTTCAGGAATCAGTTGGAACAATAGATAAGGAAAAACCCAATGATGGGTCCAAAAAAGTATATCCTCACCATTACCCATAACCCATCTAATTCCCCTGTTAATAACATGTTTACTATTCAAAATCCCTTTCTAGGCCAAAGAGTGGTTCTGCTTAACTTTGCAACTAAAAAAAATCATCCTTCTTTATGTACTTTCTTTTAACAATTTGCACCCACCAATTGTTATCATCCTTTAAAACTTTCCATCCTAACTTAGCCAAACATGCATTATTGAAATGATCCACTATTCTTACACCCAACCCCCTCTGATCCTTAGAAGTACACAATTTTTTTCCAAGCCATAGGTTTTAACTTCCTATCTCTCCCCCAAAAGAAGTCCATACACTCATTGTTTAAGTTCTAAGTTACTCAAATAGGACATTTAAAGCAAGACATGATATGACTCGGCATACTAGATAAGTTGGACTTAATGAGAGTTAGTCTTCCTACCTTAGAGAGAGTATTAGCCTTTCACCCAGCAAGCTTTTAATTAACTCTTCTGATTAATTCACATTCATTCACTAGATCTTTTCAAAACACAATATTATGAATGCCTAGATATTTGCCGATGGTGGTTTTATGTTGAATATGTAAAACATTCACAATAGCATTTCTAGTTTGGGCATTAGTATTTTTTGAAAAATAAAGTGAGGATTTGTGAAAATTTACCTTTTGACCCAAAGCTTTGGCAAACATATTAAGAACATGAAGTACATTCCTAGCACCTTTTGTAGTTGCCCTAGCAAATAACAAACAATCCTCTGCAAAAACTAGATTTGATGTTCTAAATCCACTAGGAGAGGACATAATACCAATATGCGATGTAGGGGTAGTGGCCATTTCGTTAAAGTGTCTAATTAACGGTTCCATGCAAAGAATGAAAATATAAGGGGATAAAGGATCCCCTTGCCTAATTCCCTTCTTAGGGTAAAAGTAAACATGGGTAGAACCATTAATTAAAATCGAGAAGGAAGTTGAAGTAATGCATTCCATAATTAAGTTTACCCATCTTTCCGCAAAACCAAATCTAAAAATCACTTACCTGATATACTCCCAATTAAGATAATCATATGCTTTTTCTAAATCCAGTTTTATTCCCATTGCTCTAGTCCTTCCTTTCTTACTTTTGAAACTAGAAAACATTTCATGCGCAATCAAAATATTATTATGAATAGAACATCCCGGAGAAAATGCCCCTTGGTTTCCAGATATGCAATGGTCGATAAGTGGCTTTAACCTTTTAATGATGATTTTCGTGATGATTTTATAGCTCACATTGCAAAGACTAATTGGTCTATAATTACTTACCACCTCAGGATTTTCCACTTTTGGGATGAGGGCAATGTTGGTATGATCAATAAGCCTCAGGATAGTACAATTTTCAAAGAATTCCTTAACCATAACACTCACCGAATCTTTGATTATATCCCAACATTCATGACCAATTCCATTCGGACCTGGTGCTTTCAGTGCACCAATTCTTTTAACTGCATCCCATATTTCTATATTTTCAATGGGCTTGAGTAGAAGTTCATTGTGATGGTTGTCATTACAAGGATCAATAATATATGCAATAGAAGAGATATCCATAAGAGTAGGGGGAAAATCACAAGAAAACTGCAATTTAAAGTCCTGCACAAAAGCCTGTTCTAGACCCTCACCCTCATTCCACCAAAACCCATAACTATCCTTAATCTTTCGAATTTCATTTCTTTGTTTCTTTTTCAAACAATTGCCACCGTTTGGAAATACCTTGTGTTCTTATCACCTAATTGCAGCCAATTGACTTTAGTTTTCTGCGTCCACATGACTTTTTCTTGTTGAATTAAGTTCCTCACCAAGCTTTATTTCTAAATCAATCTCTGAATCAACATTTTGGTTTTTCATGATGGTTTCTTGCACCTTAGCAAGGTCCCCAAGGATTTTTTCCTGATGCTCCTTTAAATTACCAAAAGTTGTTTTATTCCAACCTTTAATCAGATATTTGAAAGTCCCAACACATGCCCTAAAAGTCTCAATGGGACCAAACACTTCATTGCATCGCTAGGCATTCTTAACAAAATCCTTAAAATCAGGATAAAGAAGCCACATAGCTTCAAATCTAAAGGGATAATTATTCTTATAATAATTTTTTAAATTGTAGGTTAAGAGAATAGGTCCATGGTCAGACCCATAAATTGGGTAGTTATGCAAGTTATGGTTCGGGTTCTCATTTAACCAATAAGTATTAGTTATAGCCCTATCAAGTCTCTCATAAATTCTGTTGTTATCAACTTGGTTATTGCACCAAGTAAAAGGGACACCAGAAGCATTTAGAGATAAAAGGTTTCCTCTGTTTAAAAAATTGATGAACCTGGTCATATATGAAGTTAGCTTGGCAACCTCCTTTCTTCTTAGTTATGTCTACTATATTATTGAAATCCCCCATTAAGCACCACGATTTATTCTTAGGGTCTAGTTTAAGAATATCCTCCCACAATTCCAACTACAACTATTTTTAGGAAAAGCATACACAAATGTAAAAAACTGATCTTGATTAGAACAAGGATCATTCACTAAGCAATGCAAATAACGACAAGTAGAAGTGATAACAGTAACTACAACCTTGGACGAGTTCCATATTAAACATAGATCACCAGCCCTACCAGTAGGGCTACAACTAAATATCTTATCAAAAAACCTTCCATAAAGTTTCCCTGGACCTTCTCCACATCAATTTTAGTTTCCATTAAACAGAAAAGGTCCACCTTAACGCTAGCACACAAAAGATTAAAATTATTTCTAAAATCAGGTCTTCCAAGACCCCTACAATTCCAAGTCATGCACTTCATTAATCTATCTAATCTCCTCATGGACTTTTTTACTTGGACATAACACTCTCATACTTGGCCTAAGGGAGGATATCGCAGCTTCTGTTGCCATAATGGATGCCACAACATCCCCCACAAGCCTACTTCCCTCCCCCACATTCCTACTTTCTTCCTGAATCACTACATCGTGACGATTAAACATACAATTACGAGAAAACATATTCAGCCAAGCTAAATTCCAGCACACAAAATTCTCACAGCAATAAACAATTAAAATAGTACCAATAAAATCAATCTATAATTGATTATCCATCAACATATTACCCAAATAAAACCAAACAATATTAAGTTTATTAATCCTATTAAAAGGACAAGCAAGCCAGGAACTAGTACTCACCTCTTGGATACAGCCAGCACCCTTCTCAGTCCTTCTCCAGTCATGTACCAGCTCCGCTCTCGCAACCCACATCCGCATATCAGTCTCGCCATCCCTAGGTAACTTACAAGCAATCACTAGGAGACAAGCAATCAGATTCAGAGCTCCAAAGCACTCCCAAATTGAAGAGCAATTGACTCTAATTTGAAACGCTTGCCCCAAAATACCAACTCTTTCAAGCTTTCCAACTTTAATCAACAACCAAACAGCTAGGAAAAATTTAGATCTGAATTTCTTTTCCTTCCTCACAATAACTGAAGAACAAATAACTAGAAACTTAAAAAACTGCAGGCATTCAGATCCCGCAAGAGAAAACCCGAGGACCAAGCTAGGAAGCCCAAGACTCCTAATTGAGAGCTAGTTTGGTATTGTTGTGCTTTGAAAAAAAACTGTTTTTGCTGTGATGTGAGAATAAGCAGCAAAGTGTTTGGTAAACTTTTTTGTAAAAGTGCTTTTGAAAAAAAAACAGTATTATAGTGTTTGGTAAACTTTTATGTAAAACAGATGTAAAAAAAAGTCAGTTTTTCAAAGTTGGGTTTTGCAGCTTCTTATTTTTGGCTTTTTTTTCATCCAAAACTGTGAAAAAAAGCTGAAGCTGAATGATTACTAAACACAAAAACAGCTTTCAGCTTTTTTTTATACCAACTTTTTTCAGAATCATCTCAGTACCAAACCAGGCCTGAATACCTCGGCCTTTAAACCCTCTCACCCTTCACGGGAGAGAACACTATATCAATAATTCCCCCTTTCCCAAAAGACTAATTTAATAATCGCAAGATTTATCGCAACTGGAATTGAACGAGGACGCTCTATAATCCATCGGAAAACCTTAAAATTAAAAGCCACTTCCCAAAGGAAAAGTGAGAGGCGCCGCCCCCAACCATTTGGAACCCCAAATCCCAAAAGTAAAAATTAGCTACAATAAAATTTCCATCTTCAACCCAACAAGACAACCATCTGCAAAACAAACTGTAAAAAGCTAGACTAAGTTTAAGGTGGCCCAAGTCCAAGGGATTAATCACATATTTATTCCAACGCACATATTTATACGAGTTTGGTAGTACTTTAGTTTTTATATTTTCCATAAAAGATTGAGATATGCAGGAGAGAAAGATGGAGAAAGATCATGGAGGATGAAGCAGGAGGTATATGGATGGACAAATTGTGCATATACTCCCACCTCCTTTCTCTCTTTTCTTATTCATTCTCACTCATTTTCTGCCATACATTTGCCTCTATCTTCAACCGAAAAAAGAAAAAGAAAAAGAAAAAAAGAAAATTGAAAATGAAAGTGTATAAAAAAAAAAAATGTAAAATAAGTGTCACCAAGCGAGCCGTTTTTCTTTATTAATAAAGTGTACTATTATTCAAGTAAACGACCAAAATATCATATTTCAAATTCACCGTCTAATCACACTTATTCTTTTCTTCCAATATATTGTTTTGGCTGACATATTTTTAAACTATACCGATATCATCTCATATGACAAGTGATGTGTACAACAATTCAATAAATTCATTACTTGACATGATATGTACAAAATCACATGTCCGGTGAGATAGTACACCAATGTGATATAAAAATAGGTATACCTAGCATTTTCCTATACATATGCAATCAACTTTATTCGATGAATATTATGTTGCAATTTATTACATACTTGTAATACTGATCTAGTATTGTAATATAAGCATATATAAGACTTCTCATATATAGTCCATGGTATTTGATCATGCTAACAAATGATACAAGCTGCTATATATAGGAGCATGCAGTGGCGGATCTATAGAGGGACCTAGGAGGTCCCAGGACCTCTCGGCGACCCTAAATCGTTGCTAGAAATTTTTTGAGGACCCCTCGTACTTGAACACGAGGTCTGTTCAGGATGTTCTGTAACTTCTGGGTTTGGTGGTTTTGTTCTTGCGAAGACGAAAGCAGGAAGAAGATGATTAAATGAGTCTCTCTCATCCCTTCATTCCCACGTGACCACCCTCAAACTTTCCCATTTAATGTATTTTTTAATTGGTCCAATCATGTTTGGACAGCTAACATCAAGTTGATCTTTCCAAAAAAGAAAATGGGTTGTCAGTCCCTAGGTGTATTTTTGCTAATTGGTGTGGCTGCCTCTTTATGCGTCCAGTACCTCATTTTACTTTCTACACCCACATATTTAACACACTTATTTGTCTTAAAATTCAATACAAATCAATATGATCTCTAAAAATATTATGTAAATTATTATGAACTTGTAATTATTTGAACTTTTATCTTATACCTTAAATTCACCAAAATACTAAAGGTATATAATAAATTTACTTAAATTCACCTAGTCCGCCTAGATCGCAAGCGGAGAAGAAAGAAAATAGGACCGCTTTTAACAATTGGTATATGTTTTGTGTTTTTTTTTTGTTAAACGCGTAGTATAGAAATAAAAAATATGGAGAGATTTTTCAAGCCAAAGACAATAGCACCATCTATTTGTTCATTGAGAAAGATAGTTGAGTGACTTAATTAGTTATTTATATTGAGAAATATGTTTTTTTATGTACTGGTAATGAAGCTATCATAGAACATTTTCATACTATGAAACCCCGTTGTGGACGCTCAAATTAGGATTTTATAACTTGTAATGTTGTTTTGCGTATGATTTTTGAATGAAATGTATTATATTTAACTTTTTATTGTTAATGTTGTCTATAAAAAATTTTACCTTTCTTAATGGGACCCCCCAAATTTAAAATCCTGGATCCGCCACTGGGAGCATGCATACCAATGCGTAGCAGTGGCTCACGGATGAAAGGACGTAGGACAGTCTCCATGCATGCTCATTCAGCCGGCCGCCCGGAATGCATTTTGAAGGCCCAGTAGGTGGAACCGGTGCTTTGTCGATCTCGTCAAGCATGAAACCTGTCCATGCTGGCTTTTCCTTGTTTAAGAGCAACTCCACCCTAAGCACATAGGTTGGTCCACAATGAAAAAAAAATAGGCTGGCACCCCTTAAAAACCCTCTAGCCCATCCAAATAGGCTGGCATCCAGCTCAAGCCAGTTCATAGGTTAGCCCAAAACGTGCTGAGCTAGAGACCAGCCTACATGACGCTAGGCTGACATCATAACCACCAGAATTTTTTTTTTTTTTTTTTTGCGCGCCGGGTCCTAGCAGAGGAGACTGTATCCACCAGAGCGGAGGCAGTAGAGAGAGGTCCGTTCGCCAGAGATGGCAGAGAAGGAGATGTTGGGCTCGTCTACGACTGTTTGTCCCCGGAGGTAGCAGACGATGGGTTGTCGCGGTTGGTCTGACACGACACCGCATACAGTTCCGGAGGCGGAGATAATGACAAGGGTGGAGCAGGAACCGAAGGCATGAGCTGGTAGTGGTATAACAACGAAGAGGATGGTGGTGGTGGTGGTAAGGGAGGAGAAGAGTCGTTTCGTCATAGAAAGGAGTGGGGATTGATGGTATGGGTGGTGGGTTGGTGTGCTTTGGTTTGCTTCATTTGAGATGCCTGCTTCAGAAATTAAAAATCAAATTGTTATTTTATAATAACAATTAATAATATTTTAATAAAATTGACTAGGCTATTTAGTTTTAGGGGTGGAGATGCATTTGGTCAATTAAACTGTTCATGAGTTTAACACTGTTCACTGAGTGGATTAAATGGTCTGGGTGCTAGCGCATGTTTTAGGGATGAACTTGCTCTAAAGGCCTAGCCATTGCTGGACTAGTGTTTGAGGAACTAAATATCAAATAGATAATGAAGATCATCTCAGCTATGTTGAAGAGATGGTAATTTCTGCTAGTTTGCATTGTGTATTTGTGTACGAGAGAGTTTTGTGTAAAGTATTAATTATGAATTTAAAAGGAGGCGAAACATGGTTTATATAGAACTGTTAGTCTCCAGCATGCATGGTCCATATTTCGAATTACTTTTGGGTATTCATGTATATCCCTAGCTTAGAGTCTCATGTATTGCTGAGTAATGATCGCAAACCTATCAGAAGATCGAATGGAGAGGAAAAAGGAAACGAAAAAGACCCAGCTTGGGGGGCCTGCAGGGGCTGGTCAATTTGAAAGAGAATTCTAAATGTTTTCCCAAGAATTTATGGGGTCGGTTTGATCAAATATAACTACAAAATATTTGTTTTTATCAAATATCGACTTTCTTTTGGGAGTTTTGGACTACTTTTCTTTTTGTCTTACACAATGTTACTCGATAATCAGAACTAATCTACTTAGAACATTCTTTAAAAATTAACTTTAAAATAAAATTAACTAAATTTGAAATCGTTTAATCATTTAATTTTTATGCAATAAGTAAAAGTACCACATTTCTTTAATTCCATATTAAAACTATGCCAACTTTAATCTAATAGTTAAATGAGGATCAACTTAACTAAACTTCGTATTTAAATTGAAAAGAAATTTAAACGAGTTAACCGAATAATGAGAGATGATGCAATGATTAGAATAAGTTAGCAGGTTCGATTCTTACATACTCTATATGGAGGAGTGCTCTTCTAAGGTCTTTATTTTGAGGACCTGTGAGGTCCTTTTTTATATGAGTCATCCGATTAATCTTATGGTAGTCTAATCTATCAACTTAAATAATCTCTGTTATACTGAAAACACAATAATTCTACAAAGTGGTTAAATTAAAAAACATGTTTCGTGTTTAATCTTCTGTCTTCTTCCCCTAGCATCTCCCTCCTCCACATCCCCTTCCTCTTCCATCTCTCTTTTACTCTCAATCGTTCACTCCCCTTTTCTCTTCTTGAGTTTTTTTTTTTCCTTTTGGTGTATGAGAGAGACCTATTACAAATTTTTCACCGTCATCATAAAATTTAATATAAAAATGAGTTCATGCATTCAAGAAGGGGATCCTAAATTTCGAAACCACACAATCTTAAATTTTTGGTGCTTTGTAATTAACTGGGTTTGAATATTATTGATAAAAGATTGGATGAAATTAGATGTGTAAAGTTATTAAGGTTTTATGCAATTGGACTTGTTAGGTTTAGGATCAATGAGGAGACTAGGTTTTGCAAAAGGAAAGGATTCGACATGACGTGAAACCTACTTCTCTTTTTTTTTTTTTATGTTTTATTTTTTATCAATTAGTATTTTGCTTCCGTGTAACTGAAATTATTTACGTTGATAGCTTAATCTACCATACAATTAATCTGAGGATCTATATAAAAAAATAAAAAGAGAAGAAGAAGACGTGAGAGGTTCTCAAAATGATGACCTTTCCTCT